TGCTTGATACATTTTGGAGCTCTGATATTTTGTATATCACATATGTTCATAATTTTTATGTCTTCTTAGGGAATTGACTCTTTTATCAATATATATTCCTGTCTCTTGTGCTATTTTTTTTACCCCAGGTCTATTTGGCTTAATATTAGCTACTCCAGCCCTCTTATGGTTACTAATTGCATAAAGTATCTTTTTCATCATTTAACTCCCAACCTAATTCTGCCTTTGGAGCTAAAGTCAGTCTCATGTTGACAGCCTATAGTTCAAATTTTTAAAATCTATTCTGCCAACCAATGCCTTTTGACTGGAGAGTTTAGCCCATTTACATTTGAAGTAATTACTGATAAGGAAGGACTTACTTTTGCCCTTTTGTTGGTATCTATATGTCTTATATCATTCTCTCTCCCTTATTTCCTCCATTATTACCTCTTTTTGTGTTTCGTTTTTGTAGAGATACATTTTGATTCCCTTTTCATTTCCTTTTATGTATATTCTATAGATATTTCTCTGTTGTTACCATGGTGATTACATATAACCTTTTAAAGTTGTAATAATCTAATTTAAATTGATTCCAACTTAAATTCAATTACAAAAAACCCTACTCCTATAATAATTCTACCCTTCTTGTGTTATTAATGTCACAAATTACATCTGTATACATTATATACCCATTTACAGAGATTTATAATTATGTTGTATGCATTTGTGTCATAAATCCTGAAGTGGAGTTAAAAGTGGCATTAAATCCAAAATTATAATAATACTGGCTTTTATTTTTTCTCATATATATACTTTTACCAGAGGTCATTGTATCTTCATCTGGTTTTGAGTTACTAAGATTCTTTCATTTCTGTTTGAAGGTGTGATGTTATGATTTATAACAAGAAATACATATTTGGTTTTCACCCATTCCTGGACAGAGCTCCCCAAACCATTGGAATTTCTTAAGTAATAAAGGTGTCTTTTGTTATGTTAATGTGATGGCTTTTGGAAAGTCCTTATATAACCCAAGAATGAGGGCTGGTAGCCAGGGGAACCAATCATGTGATTAGAGGATTAGAATTTTCAGTCTCATCCCTTGACCTTAGGAGAAGGAAAGGGCCTGGACGTTGAATAAATGGCCAATGATTTCATCAATCATGCCTATGTAATGAAGCTTCCATAAAAACCCAAAGCATGGATTCAGAGAACTTCTGGGTTGGTGACCATGTGAAGGTGCTCAGAAAGGATGGGAAGCTTTGTGACCCATCCCATGTCCTATGCATCTCTTCCATCTGGCTATTCTTGAGTTTTATCCTTTTATAACAAATCAGTAATCTAGAAGGTAAAATGTGTCTCTTAAGTTCTGTGAGCCACACTAGTAACTTAATGAAACCCAAGGAGGGATCATGGGAACATCTGACCATCAGAAGCATAGGTAGGTGACAACCTGGTCTTAGGATTGACATCTGAAGTGAAGAAGTGGGGGGCAGTCTTATAGGACTGAGCGTTTAACTTTTGGACCTGACATGATCTCCAGGTAGATAGTGTCAGAACTAAGTTAATTGCTTGGTGGTACTGGAAAAACGCTCATCTGAGAAGGACTTCTTTTAACATTCATTGTAGAGCAAGTTTAGTAGTAATGAACTCTCTTAGCTTTTGTTTTTCTGGAAATGTCTTAATTTCTCCATCACTTTTGAAGGATAGTTTCCAGATAGAGAATTCTGTTTTGTTTTGTTTTTATTTCAATACTTATTAAATATATCATCCAACTGCCTTCTGGTTTCCAAGAGTGCTGCTGAGAAATTAGGGAATAATGTTATTAAGGATCACCTGTACATGAGTTGCTTCACTCTTGTTGATTTCAAGGTTCCCTTTGACTTTGGCTTTTGACAGTTTGATTATGTGTCTTGATATGTATCTCTTTTGGTTATCCTACTTAAAGTTCATTGAACTTCTTGGATTTGTATATTCATGTATTTCATGAAATCCAGGAGTTTTCAGCTATTATTTCTTCAAATAAACTCTCTGCCACTTTCTTTCTCTTCTTCTGGGATTCCCATAACTTATATACAGGTTTTTCCCCCCTTTTTTATTGCACTTCACTTTATTTTGCTTCACAGACAACTGTGTTCTTTGTAAATTGAAGGTTTGTGGCACCATTTTTCCAAAAGCATTTGTTCACTTCATGTCTCTGTCACATTTTGGTCATTCTCACACTTTCGGTAATTCAAACTTTTTCATCATTATTATATTTGTTATGGTGATCTGTGATCAGTAATCTGTGATGTTTCTATTTGTGAGTTTTAAGGTGCCACACACCATACTTATTATATAAGATAGCAAACTTAACTGATGAATATTGTATGTGTTCTGACTACAGATGTGGTGGAAACAGCAAGAAAACTGGAATTAGGAGTGGACCCTCAAGATCTGACTGAATTGCTGGAATCTCATGATAAAACTTTAACAAATGAGGAGTTGATTCTTATGGATGAGCAAAAAAAAAAAAAAAAGGATGGAAACGTCTCCTGGTGAAGATGTTATGAAGATTGTTGAAATGACAACAAAGGATTTAGACTATTACATGAACTTAATTGACAAAGCAGTGGCAGGGTTTGAGGGGATTGACTCCAAGTGTGAAAGAAGTTCTTTTTTTTTTTTTTAAGATTTTATTTATTTATTTTTCAGAGAGAGAGAGAGAGCACAAGCAGGGGGAGCAGCAGGCAGAGGGAGAAGCAGGCTCCCCCTGAGCAGGGAAACTGATGCAGGACTCGATCCCCAGGACTCTGGGATCATGACCTGAGCTGAAGGCAGAAGCTTAACTGACTGAGCCACCCAGGCATCCCTGAAAGAAGTTCTAATGGAAGTAAAATGCTATCAAACAGGATTGCATGCTACAGAGAAGTCATTCATGAAAGGAAGAGTCAACTGATGCAGAATACTTCACTGTTGTCTTATTTTAAGAAGTTTCCACAGTTATCCTGACCTTCAGCACCCACCACCCTGATCAGTCAGCAGCCATTAACATCAAGGTAAGACCCTCCACCAGCAAAAAAAATTACTACTTGCTACAAGCTCAGATGATGGTTACCATCTAGTAATAAAGTATTTTTTAACTCAGGTATATATATTGTTTCTCTAGACATAATGCTACTGCACATTTAATAGGCTACAGTGTAGTGTACACAGAACTTTTATATACAATGGGAAAACAAAACATTCATTTGACTTGCTTTGTCGGGGTGTTCACTTTATTGTGGTTGTCTGAACCTGAGCCCACACGGTCTCTGAGGGCTGCCAGTATCAGTTCTCTGGATGGTATCCTGGAAGTTCCTTAGATTCAGTTCACTTTCTTATCCTTTCTCTTCTGCTCCCCAGGCTTGAGAATTTCAGACGCCCTCTCTTCCAATTCTCTGATTTTTCTCTTTTGCCTGCTCATCTCTGCTGTTGCAGCCCACTAGTGAAATTTCCATTTCAGTTATTACATTTCTTCACTCCAGAATTTCTCTTTATTTCTCTTTTATAATTCTTATCTCTGTTGATGTTCTCATTTTTAAGATCTATTCTGTGCCTGATTTCCTTTAGTTCTTTGTCCATGTTTTCCCTTAGCACTTTAGGCATATTTAAAAGAGTTGTTGGGGCACCTGGGTGGTTCAGTCAGCTAAGCATCTGACCCTCGATCTCAGCTCAGGTCTCCATCTCAGGGTCATAAGTTCAAGCTCCATCGGGGCTCCCCACTGGGAGTGGAGACTAATTAAAAAAAGAAAAAGAATTGTTTTAGTCTTTGTCTAGTAAGTCCATTGTCCGCCTTCTTGGGGATGGTTTCTGCCCATTTATTTTGTCCCTTCAATAAGCCGTATTTTCCTGGGTTTGCTGTTGTTGTTGTCACCATCATTGACAACTGGGCATTACATTATTATAATATAGTAATTCTGGATATCCGACTTCTCCCTTTCCCCAGGGCTTGCTTTTTTTTAATTTTTGGAGACTGGGATAGTCCATTTGTTTTGAGACTTTTCCAGACTATTTTTGCAAAGTCTATTCCTTGCCGTATGTGCTCACTGAAGCCTCTGTTACTTTAGCCTGTGTTGAGCTAACACAGTTTGATAGAGATTTTCTTATGCCAGGAGCTGAAACACACAAACGAAAACACTGATATATATATATATAACCATATATATGAAAAAAGAGAGAGAGAGAGGAGAGAGAGAGCAATCCCCACTCACAGCCTTGGCTGGGTTACTCCTCCCTTAGTTAGACTTGCTCTCAGCCTAGACATCAGCCTTTTTTTATTTTTTATTTTTTTTAAAGATTTTATTTATTTATTTATTTATTTAAGTTTCTTGAATTCTTTTTTTTTTTTTAAAGATTTTTATTTATTTATTTGAGACAGAGAGAATGAGAGACAGAGAGCACAAGAAGGAAGAGGGTCAGAGGGAGAAGCAGACTCCCTGCTGAGCAGGGAGCCCGATGTGGGACTCGATCCAGGGACTCCAGGATCATGACCTGAGCCGAAGGCAGTCGCTTAACTAACTGAGCCACCCAGGCTCCCTAGCTTTCCATTGATCTTAATCACAGGTCTCAGTAATACTAAGTGACAACCAAAAGGATGTTCTGTATTCCAAATGTATTCTTTACCTCCATTGTAGTGTCATAGTCCAATGTATGCTGGTAGTCAAGGTCAATCACCCCAGCCAACACTGTAATTACTTTTTTTGCTTGTTGACTCAAAGAGTCTCAAGTGGCCAGATGGCATTCTTTTTTAAGATTTTATTTATCCATTTGAGAGAGAGAGAGAGAGAGATAGAGAGCACGAGAGGGAAGAGGGTCAGAGGGAGAAGCAGACTCCCTGCTGAGCAGGGAGCCCGATGCGGGACTCAATCCCGGGACTCCAGGATCATGACCTGAGCCGAAGGCAGTCGCTTAACCAACTGAGCCACCCAGGTGCCCTTTTATTTTTATTTTTATTTTTTTTAAAGATTTTATTTATTTATTTGAGAGAGAGAGAATGAGAGATAGAGAGCACGAGAGGGAAGAGGGTCCGAGGGAGAAGCAGACTCCCTGCTGGCCTAGACATCAGCCTTAAAGTGAAAGGTTAAAATCGTCTGATTTTTGTGAGCATATGTCTTCCCTGGGTATGCATGTGGCTTTCTAGATTCCCCTATACAAACACTGCTTTTGAATCTCCTGATTTCCCAAAGTCTTACCCCACTTTCTCCTCCAGCCCTTAGATGGTATACTGTATGCCTCCAGTGAGAATCTATTGCCCGGGGTGTCCATGCGTGTGTATTCTCTGGTTGCTTTTATGAGCGAAGCCTGTAGCTTTTCCTACCTGTGTCTCGAATTATGTGAGAAAGAGAGAGCAAGCGAGTTCTTCAGGTATCCCCAGCCAGGTTAGAACAGAGGTACACAATAATCTGCAAATAAGATCTGCTCTCTCCATTTTAAAGAGTGGAACTGGGGACCGAGTTGCCACCACTTGTGTCTAAGATGGTTGCCATTTGGACAAGGGTTTTTTGAGGGTTTTTTCCCCACGATTATATGGAGGAACATGAGCTTGGAGCTTCCTAGTCCAACATCTTTCAGATGTCCCACCACTATTATTTTATGTGGATTTACTGCATACCAAAACTGCACTGAGCTGGTTATTTTCTCTTTGCCCTCCAGATATACTCTCCACCCTTCTCTGTCCTAGTCTGTGTCCGGCAGGCTGATCTGCACAAACCACATCAATGGGTTCTCAGCCCCAGTGGGAGGAGACGGAGGCTGTGAATTTAATTCCCTTCCTGCCGTGGACACAATTTGGCCACATCTTTCCATCAAATATCACAGCTCTCCTCCAGTGACCCTCTCCCTACGGCTACCCACCCTGAGATCTGGACCCGGCACATGTCCCTTCAGACCCGGGGGTAAGGAAGAGCTTTCCAATCACCATCACCTTCTGCTGTTTTAGCCCCAAGATCCTTCAGCGCCCTTTGCACGCATCCCCAGATCTTTCCGCACCTTTGTAACTCACCTTTTTATTACCATCCCTCTCTTACTCAGCCTGAGAGTGCCATCTGTTTCCTGCTGGAAGTCTGAGTGACACACTGTGCTCTTGGCGGCTATTTCTGTTTCAGAGAAGTGCTTCTGAGGTTGGAGTAATGCGCTCAGATACCAGTAGATTCTGGAGGGTACTTTGGGTCAAAAGATAAGAATTCACTTTCCTGAACAACTTTGTAATATTTATGAGAACGATACTCTGCTTGGGGTTCAGAAAATGTGTCTTATTAAACACACAGCCTCGGTCCTATAATCCGAAATGCAGACAAATTTATGGTTCAGTTCCTGCAAGGCAAGTGAATGACAAGAAGACTGCCCTCCCTTTGTGGGTGGGCAAAGCAGAGCAGCACCCTGCCGTCACGGGAAGCCTGTCCCAGGAGTGGCATCATCCTGCCTTCCCGAAAACTGAGAAGACAAGTGCCCAGGGGAAACTGCAGAGGGAGATATCTATTGTCTCCTGTGTCTAGAAAAGAGCTACCCATGAGGTGAGATCAAATACACGAACTGCTCCTTCTCTAATGCGTTCTCCTCACTGTCGAAAGGCCTTTCTTAAGCACAGACCCGATGAGGAGGCCATTTACTCTGCCAGAAACCTCTAGGGGGCTCTTTGACCGGGACAAAGAATGACAAATACTCAGCATGTGGGTGGGCACTCCCACTCCTGGCTCCCAGGGCACACTTGTCCAATAAAGCTGCTTTCAGCCGGGGAAACTTTCCATCGTGGCTCTCCAGGTAGCCAATACTTATGTTGCTTTTCATTTCAGGTCAACGTTATTTCCCAACCTCGTCCCTTAAGGTAAAATATATTCTGAATTCAGAAGCACAGCACTGCACAATGTGGTCCCAATCTTCCATCCCAGCACCTGAGCATTTTTCCTCTTACTCTTTTGTGCCAAATTGTTAGCTTTATTCGCACTGTTCACAGCATATATTGGGCATTTGAACTATCTGTTAGACTAATACTGATACGGTCCTATGAACTGAAGTTTGCTTTAAACACAAGCACATACACACAGAACTTGAATCTGAGCCAAATATGTTTAGACTATTGCAGTAGCCCCAGATAATATTTGTGTATTAGTTTGGAGCATTTGCCCATACACTTATTTTTATATATTTAAAGGGTACAAAAGGCTTATTAGATGAAAACTTGGGAAATATATTCCTTATGGAGCAAAAGCAACATGTTCAAGCCCAGTGTGTTTTTAACTGACTCTTTCAGGCAGGTGGCCTCATGACCTCGGCCTCCTCCAGGGAGAGTGGTCAATGCATTCCCGTGTGAGGTTGAATCTTTTCTTCATTGTACTTCAGCTGTCCGCAAATAACAAATTCCTGCTGTTCTCCCAAGTTGTCTCGATTTTACCTCTCCCCGGAAAAGCCGATGACATCATTTATCTGCTGACTTATTTTAGGTGTGAGCTTATTTAACACTAATCTACTGAATTCACATTAGAATTTCAGCTTCAGTTTCTTAAGCAGAGGAGGAAAACAAAAACAGGATCTTTACGATTAGAGTTAAATTTTAAAAATGTGCTTAGAGAAAAGAATTTGATTCTAAATATAGACAACTATACACAACTGCTTGTCACTGCATTGGAGTTCACGGCCGGTTGAGATTCAGATGATGTTCATTCTACCAATATTCACTGAGAGACTGCTCTATCTCGGGACCAGTCTGAACACTGGGGAAGAGTGAAGGTCTGAGGAGGCCACTGCCCACCCTCCCAGAGCACAGAGGCTTGTGGGGGACAGAAGACATGCCCACAAATTCTTGTCACCCAGTTTAATTTTAAACTTCACTCTTCAGATAATATTTTCAAGCTACCCTTTAGTGAGCACTTACTGTGGGGTAGGCAATCATTATTTCACCTATATTATGTCTTTTAATTCTCATGGCAGTTTCTATACAGTAGGGTATTATTCTTTCTACTTCAGAGATGAGAAAAACAAAGCTCATAAAGTATGGGTAATGCAAGGTTCAATTAGCTAGTAAGCCCATGCTCACCAGGAGCCAGAAATTAATTAATGCAGCTATACTTTTAGACAAGCTTTGAAAACATCGAAACGTAGTAACACAGCCAAGGTTACAAATAATCCTAAAACCGAATTGTCAGCTCCTGGATAATTCAAGATAATCCAAATATGTGGTAGTTGGTAGTTGACGACCCGAAAGATATTTTTTGTTCAGAGTTAATTTCTTTACCGGAATCTTTTTTAAACAAATAAACCCACTGGAAAATATTTTCAAAATCTTTTTTCTTCCAAGGCAGCAAAAATAAATTTAGACAAAGCAAAAAATAATTGTCAATTTTGATCTCAGCAGATTTATCTTCATAAATAACCCAGGGTGGTATGTGGATGTGTGGCTCAAAGTGATAAGATTATAAAATATCAACTAGAAACAGTCACAATAGTGGAGTGTGGGAGTGCAGATTTTTTAGATTTGGCATATTTGGAATAGCTTTATTATTATTATTATTATTGTTTTAGCACATTTTGAAAGTAGAAACAGAGGCTTAGGATGGGATAATACCGTTGCTACGAGGGGCTTTGGTTTCTCTGCCATCCAATAGCTTGCATTTAGAAATTGCAGTTTGAAGGAACATGCCTCTCTTTCAGTGAACCTTCTCTAAGGGCCACAGAATAGGTGTTGTTGAGATCCTGAGAGCAGCCTTCATATTGAGGGACCGGGGTTAGCTGTGGAGTGACACGGATCTTGAACCTTAGACCCAACCTCGTTTGCACAGAGGCCAGAAATGAGAAGTAGAGTCAAGAGAAACTGGTGAACAAAACCTGACCTTCCTTCCAGCCGCTCCCTGCAGAAATGCCCTGCACAAATGCAAAAAAGCAGAGTGGCGTTCAGCTGGAAGATGGCTCGAGAATGTCATGATCAAAATTTCCTCTCTCCGGGACCTGGCTATTGAGGTGGAAGCCTTGGGCCGGGAGGCACTGCAGAATCTTCAAGGACAAACAAAAAATGGAGGACCTTGACTTGCCCACATTAAAGTCAGTCAGCAGCAACTGGAGATTCGAGTCCAGGGCTCCAGACCCACCAGAAAGGGCCAATCTCTGTGAGTACATAGTGCCCGTGTTGTGGGGCCTGGCGGGTGGACCTGGACAGTGGGGACAGGGGTGTCATCAGTTTGTTAAATGGCATAATGCAGTGCATAAGCAAACCTGCTCCAGAGGTAGTCACTGCAGATGCAAGCAGCGAAAACTCGTCAGTCTAGAGGGGAAAAGGCAATTGTTGGTTTTAATCTTGAAACAAGATTTATTTAACAGGATTTACCCAGTTCGTGTATGTATACGTGTGACCCAAAGTGCGAAGAGAGTAGAAAAGCAACTAGAAACAAATTCAAAAATTCAAGTTCTACCATTTACCAGCTGCGTGGCCTTGAGCATTTTGCTTCACATCCGTCAGCCTCAGTTTCCCCTTCTGTAAAACAGAGATAGTCAAAGAATCTAGTTTATAGGCTTCTTGTAAGGACCGAGAGAAGAGTTGCACATTGCCTGGCACTTAGTATTTCATCTTATTAAATATTAATAATTATCATCGAAGATCTACTTTGTACATTTAGACAATAAAACTTGCCCTTAACTACACAGGATTTGCCAAAAACTCATCATCTGTCTGTCTTTGTCTTCATTCCCTCCCTAGCTATTTCCTAGCCTTGAAGGATTTACCTGGAAAGTTAAGAAAGTCTCATTTCCTGGAATTGAAGTAAGTACGCCCCTTAGTAGGTTCCTCTCCCAAATCCCACCAGACCTTCTCCAAGGAGGACCTAAACGCAGATGGTCAGTTGGTACCCCAGTTTCCACGCAGAGAAAACAACTGGACAATGTTCTACAGTAGCTTCTAGAGGGCAGACAATTTCTTTATGTGATTCTCTCTTGCAGCTCTTAGAACTCAGCTCTCGGGGTAAGTGTGGGTGTTAGTGAAGACGGCCAGCAGCCGTGGAGGAGGGCGGGGTGGTGAGAACGTTCTTCACCAGTGTGGGCGGGGACTGGCTCCACGACAGACGGTGCAATCTCTGCCTGATGTTCCAGATGCAGGCCAGGTAGGCAAAAAGGAAGTAGAAGACACCATCATACCTAGACTTCAGAAGGCTTTCATTCCATTTGGATCAACTTGAGAGGCCGCCCCACTCAAACGGGGTTGTCAGACCATCCTGGGAAGGGCTGCAGCGACCAGAGCCGTGGATCGTGGCAGGAGCTCTGGCACACCTTCCTCCCTGGAGCTGGGCTGGCACTTCACACCCTTCTCCTGACAAGTCAGCCCTGTTCCTAGTTCCTCTGACCCGTCAGCTCTTTCCTTCCTTCCAGGCCCTTTCAGACATCCTGCCTCCACTGCGCTGCCTCGTGGGCGGAAGGTTCTCACCGCCGCCGTCACGGGGGTCCGCCTTCAATCCGAGTGCTCAGCAGGTGTTTCCAAACCCCCAGGAGGACTGTGCCCTGTGCTCTAGGCAGATTCCTCCCCTCCTCCCTCCCTTCTCTCCTCTCTCTTCCCGTTTTCTCCTTTCTCCCCTCCTGCCAGTATATTTATTGCCGGATCCCTGACACTGAGAATTTGTTCCTGATCTGGGGTTAGGCTGAGCTCTTAGGTTTGAAGATGCCAGCGACCAGTGTTGAAAGCACCTTGAGGGAGGAGAGCATTTACGGGGTGTGTTGAAGAAAGGCACTCAGCCGATTGGAAAGGCTGAAATGGTTTGGACTTATCGAAGCCGACCGGCGTAGCGGAGGGGCAAACGGCGAAGCTCCGGCAGAGTCGATGCGCAAAGAGCAGGAGGGCAAAGCTCAAGCGGCAACGCGTATCTAATATGATGGTGGAGCGCCTCCTCCGGTTCCTCCTGCCCTGTGATGGCCACAAGGGGAGCCGAGAGAAAAGTGGAAAAAATGCTCTGGGGAGGCATGCGGAGGCAGCTACCACACTGGAGCCGCTGACCCAGACACTCCGCATGAGTTCTGCGGCGATTTCCAGGCGGGGCGGCTGGGAAACAGGCTCAGAGGGTTAGTGGTTTCCCAGGAAGGGATGCACTTCTTGCGATGAATCACCCTGTGTCAAGGAGGATTTTTATGACATCAGCTTCCAAGCAGATCACCGAGACTCCACCACTCAAGAGGGCACTGGAGCTTAACACCACAGGAGCCCACACTTGATGTTTTCTTTCTTGTCTTTTCCAAGGGGACATTTGGACCAAAAGTGGCCTGTGGCCCCTGGAAACTCTGAGTAGTGGCTTGGCATCCTAGGAATCCGTCTGTTGTGCTTTGTGGAAGAGCCTGGAAAGGTCTAGTTTTGTCTGGAAAACAAAACTCATGGTTGTTACTGTGAAAGTGTAACCCCGCTTACCCCCTTCTAATAAATGCTGCAATCTCGAAATAACATGAATTAAACAAAGTGATCCCTTGGTATCTAGATATATCACTTAAGATCAATTTGCTTCTATTGGTCTAATTATATTAACTTTGGATTTTGGAGGCACAGTTGCAGTGCTTTTTGCAAGTCTTTCAAATCCTCAATATTTTCCTTTTTTATTCCCACTTTTTTTTTCAGTGAAGCCTAATGTCTTCCAGCCCCAGGCTTGCGGGTCCGTGTTCGTCTCTGTGACTGACCCCATAATATTTACTTATAACGTACATAAAAATACCCTGCATGCCAAAAGCTGCTAGCTGCAGGAAAATGATAAAATATAAAAATATTTAATCAGCCAGTGGGAATTCCCTTACGTGTTAAATCAAAGGGTCTCTCAGAGGGTTCACCGTGACCTTGGAAACCCAGCAGATTCAAGCTGCCCTGAAGGGCCCCAGCAGGAGGGAATCCTGCGGAGAACCTGCAGGGCCCCTTCATGTCCTCTAGAAAACACAGCACGAAAGGGGTTTTGGCTTCATTGTCAAGGAGCTCAGGGGCAGGTGTGTGGACACACAGTGGGGCTTTTCCATTTGGGGTGTCTGTCGTTTGTCTGGTCTCACTCAGGGCCATCCCACCTTGTGACACCTACTCTGTTCCTCTTTCTCCCAGTCCGCTTCTCTAAAAGGGGCACTGTGAAGGGTTTCTTTTGCCTTTTTTTTTTTCCACCTTTACTGAGATATAATTGGCATATAACACTATGTAAGTATCAGGCGTGCAATGTGATGATTTGATATACATACATATTGTGAAATGTTTACCACAATAAGGTCAGTTAATGCATCCTTCACCTCAGGTGTGTGGAGGATTTCTAAGAAAGAGTTGCTAGAGAAGTAATAGGAAGAGTGATGTGGTGGGGAAAACACCCCAGGAAAAGCAAGTCTGGACCCAGCCCTGACTCTTCTATGACCTACCGTGGCCAAGTCATTGCGCATCTCTGGGAATCAGATGTAGGGGCAGTTTGCAGCTCTAGTGGTTCCACGAAGTACCCTTAGGTTAGAGAGAGGGTGACCATGTGAAGCTGTTAGGCTTCTAGGCCCCTCCCGCATTCCCATGTCAATCAGCTCTGTTTTATCAATTTTAGATTTGGGATTATACATATTATTTAATTCACAAAAAGTATCTTACTATTAAGAAGGAAAGTTTAAAAACCAGTGGGCCACAAAGAGATTCCTGTTGAATATTAATATAACTTGGGGCTCAGTAATATCTCAGACTCCAGTTTCTCTCTCCTTGGCATTCCCTACTAAAAGCTGGTCAAAACTGGTTAGTTACATCTGCTGTCCGCTAAAGAGCTGATGGGGTGTAAGCCCCAGGACAGGGACCAACTGAGAGGTGAGGCTGGGTGGCAGGATTCAAGGATGCAGTTTTGCAAGCTGCAAGCTGACCCACGTGGCAAAATGCTCTTCTCCCCTTTGGGGTTACTTTGGTTACCATTCTTTCCACAAGAATGGTACCAAAGCAGTGTACCATGTTTCAACTGCCTGCCAAAGTTTTTTTTTTTTTTAAGCTTTAAACTAGTCAAACCGTTCGAAGCTCAGGGCAATCAGAAATGTTAAGTCACCTCACTCTCTTGTAATTAAAAAGTAAATAGATTTTTACTTATTTCACCAATTATAATGTGATAGTTTAGAGTGCCCAAACTAGATCATGATTTACTAAGTCCAAAACGTCACTGTTGGTTATTAAGAAGCACAGTTCCTTTACTTGGTGTTCTCTTCTCCGATCTTTATGTTATTCTTTTCCTAATGCCTGCAGAAGCTCCGTTGTCCAGGCAGCTCACTCTCCCCATGAGTTTTCTTTCCAAAGTAAGCCACATGGCTACAGCTTCGTCCCTCACTAACCATCTCGGTTCCGTAGTTCCTTCAAACTGTGAAAATCCTGTTTTTCTCCATAAGGCTCTAATGGACCACTTAGGTGAGGACCCGAAGACATTCTTGTCATTCTTCACGCCCTTCTGTAGTATTTACTCTTGCAACTTCCACCAAATTTCAATCACCTCCAACGTGCGTGGAATCTAAAGGCCTTTTAAAAATACCTTTTATTTTTAGATGCATTTTAGATTAGCCGCAAAGTTGAGAAGATCATGCAGAGAATTTCCATTCAAGATTTGTTTTTGAAGTGAGAATGTCTATAATCCTTTTAAGTCAGTATGTCTTTTACTTAAGTGAATATCAGTATGCTCTTCACTTGTGCAGACATTTCAGGGTGACTTACTTTTAAAACATGAGCTCCAAAAAATCATGAAATTCTCTTTTAATGGTGCCATGTTTTTATTAAGATACAGAGTTCTTAATGGTTTCCGGTGCTACTGCTGCCTACCATATTTCTGCTTTTGAAGATACTCTTAAGGTAATGATGCAACAAGTCTATTTACCCCTCATTTGAAGAACTCCTTCTTTCTCACAGTTCTCTTCCTCCTTTATTATCAAGACATTCACTTGGCCCTACTTGGTCAGTTTCTTTTTCTGGTTATCTATTTTTGGATACTGTGTTTAAAAAGATCCTGGTGCTAACACTGAATATGTATTATCAATTTCCATAGTGCCCTAATCATTTTTCTAAGTAATTCTCTCTTCTTAAAACACACTGGCATTTTATTTGAACCAACAATTTATTTATTTATTTTTTATTTTTTTAAATATTTTATTTATTTATATGAGAGAGAGAGAGAGAGAGGGACCGAGAGAAACAGCACGAGAGGGGAGAGGGTCAGAGGGAGAAGCAGGCTCCCCGCTGAGCCGGGAGCCTGATGTGGGACTAGATCCCAGGACTCCGGGATCATGACCTGAGGCGAAGGCAGTCGCTTAACCAACTGAGCCACCCAGGCGCCCTGAACCAACAATTTATGAATATCCTTGGTGCAGATACACTTATTTGTAGGTCTGCTATGATGCCTAAATGTGTCCCCAAGTTTGAAAGCAATTCAGAAACAATTCACCTGTTTGGGTGGCCAAAGAGGCATAATTTGAAAACTCTGAGATGTATGTTAAATTTAATTTTGCACCAGAATGCATCAATTTCCTAATTTTGTTAGGTGTTCCCCTTGATTTTTATTTTCACTTCATGTTTGAAACAGAAGTGCGCATGAGCTGTTGTACCCTTTCCCTAGTCTCACAGTTTGATGGGTTAGTTATAAAATGAATGTTTTTCAGAGTGGCCAAAAAAATAACAAAGCATGATAAATCAGTAACTCTCTGTTCCTTTGATGAATTTTTGTTTGTTATTGTTATTGTTATTATTATTGTAGAAGTGTGACTGAGGGGAAAAAAAAAAAGAAAACCAGCTCGACTAGCACTGTGAATGCATCTGTGACTGAAGCATTTGAGAAGAATACTTCCTTCCAGAATGAAATGTGATCTAAAGGACCAAAGGTCATCAAAGAACCCACGAAAGGGAGTCAATAATCTGGGTTATTTGATTCTTTATTGCGATCAAGAATTCCCCATTAGTCTTATGCTACAAAGATGTAAAGATTGGAGGGACACTTCTGACAGGAGATAGTAATTTAGTGCATCCAAAAATGGACTTGCTCACTTGGAAACATGAGTCTACAATGAATCAATTGCCAGGCAATGAATGAACTGATGTAATATGGCCAGGTTCCAGAGAACAGGAGCACCTGTCTTCAAAGCCATGTGTGGCTAGACACTGACGTAGAATTATAAGTAAAGGGCCCCGGCATCACCGGATAGATTTAATTTCCATGACATTAAAATTATGTGAACTGGAGTATCAAGTTCATATCTCCTTGTTCACTGCCATCTCCTCATTTATTCGTTCAATGAACTAATGTTCATCGAGCACCTACTGCATGCCAGGAACTTTCTAGGCACTGGAGTACAGCAGTGAACAGAGAGCAAAAGTTGATTAGATGATGAGGTATAGTCACAGAAAATACTTACTTTAAGGAAACTAGACAAGATGGAACAAAAGACCAGGGACAAAAGCTTTGAGAGCCAGAGAGCACCATAACAGGTGGAGGACGTATCTGGGTTGGCCACCCATGAAAAAAATTCTCTGAGCTGGGTGGGAAGAGTATTCTTACTCTAGGAGGTCAGGAACTGTTTGTCTATTTCCCAGAGGGTATTTATATATGTGAAATGACTATATATGTATATATATAATGTGTATGCCCCCCTTCTCATGCCACCCCCTTCCCCCGCCGGCCAAAGATACCTAAATGCTAATCCTTACAACAATGAATGGCAAAAATGGACTTTGGCAGATGTAACCTAAGTTACAGGTTTTGAGATGGGGAGATTAACCTGGATTATCCAGGTAGGCCCTAAATGAAATCATAGATCTCCTTGTAGGAGTGAGGCAGAAGAAGATTAGACCATAGAGCTAGGGATTGGCCACAAGATAGGTAATGCTAGTCATCAGATGCTGGAAGCTTCCAGAGGCAGCATGGCAGCTTGATTTCAACTTAGTGAAACTGATTTGGGACTTCTGGTTTCCACAACTATGTGAGAGTAGATATTTTAAGCCATCAAGTTTGTGGTAATGTGTTACAAGTTTGTATTAGTTCTTGGGTCTGCTGTAACAAATTGCCACAAATGTGTGTGTTTATCTAATGTATCCATTCACCCGCTAGACATCTCTAATATAAATACCTAATGACTTGATTTTATCATTTCCCAACCAGTCTCTATCCCGGCCTTTCTCATTTTTGGAAATGGCACAATCAACTACCTCCTCAGATAGAAAACTGGGACCATCTTGAGTTTCTCTATTTCCTTTATTACTACCTCACTCCCAGTTCCTAGCAATTATCAATATCTTTTGGTTCTATTTCCAAAATATGTCCGGGATGAGGTCACTTCCTTGTCACCATTACCGTCATCTTAGCCTTTAGCCACCATTACCTCTCGCCTGGAGCACCAAAGCAGCCTCTGAACTGATCTTACAGTTCCTTTCTCGCTCCTGCAATCTGTTCCCCACAGAGTACTTAGAAGGAACCTTTAAGAATATAAATCAGA